CGATTTTTCAATTCCCCGTAACACATCTAAAGGCCTTTCAGGTGTGCTATGCTTGCACTTGACACTCCATATCTTCGGCTTACTTTCGACAACCGTGAATTCTCGTTTAGCAAATCGAATCGAATGGTCTCTCACCGCGGCACAAAGGCGTTTTTTGTCCTCAAACACCATCCCAACCTCAAGAATACCTCGATCGCTATCGTAAAACTTATCATATCGGCCCCTTCCAACATCAACTGAATCTGCCGCCACTTCTGAAAACGTCATCGAGAAAAATGGGATTGACTCATACAAAGTCGGTTGTTCCTCTGCTTCCGCCTCGTTGTGCTGCAACCACGTCTCCCGAACACCATCTTGTACGTCTTCATCTTCATTGTCGTCGTCTCCGTCATCGGATGGTTCGGAATTCACAGGACAGTTCGGCCCAAAGGAGTCACCTATAGGGTCTTCATCATCGAAAATGCTCCGTCTCGCGGAACTCGACTCACCAATAAATCCCCCTAAATTACCATAGTTAATTGTATGGTTATCTCTGTGCACATCTCTCGCTCCACTAGTCTCACAATAATTAGGGATGATTTGTGTCGCCGCCAGAAAATCCGGAGTCACCTCTGGTTGTGAGAAATATGGTTCATTCAAATCAAATGCCTCTACGCTCACTTGTGGTGGGGCACTATCAATGTGCTTCGGTTCAATCTCAACAAATACTTCGATTGCCTCATTCCCTTCGTCCGGATCAATATACATTTGTAAATCTTCATCTGTTGTCATCTCGGTAATCATCTCCCTCATTCTTTCTCCATTATAAATGTAAGATTTGCAACACACTCTTAGCCCAAACTGATTAACATCGACATCTAGAAGTTGATACAACTTTGACAAAAATTGTGCAAAGGACAAGTCACGTTTAATTCGAAATGCTGTTTTGTGAGCAATACTATATTGCACTACCCAATCATCGGGAATTATGTGACCTCCAAAGTACACGTACACTTTGACATTAGTTTTAGCCGCCATCAATCTTCAAAAGATTAAGGAGATAATTAACTCATCAATCGAGATTAATTAATAATGAGGCATATTAGTTAAAAAATAATAATTTAACTAAGTACACACACCAAAAAATTAATTAGTCAATTTAATTTAATTGCCCGATGTTTTACAAAACAACACCATTTTAGCTATGGTTTTACAAAACAACACTAGTTCAAAAAATTTGCCCATGCTTATAAAATATATATAGTACTAATACATAATATAAAATAAATAACTACTAACTAACTAACTAACTAGCATGAAACATC